ATCTTGCCAGCCAACACCTGTGAAGGAGGTGGCATCAAGGGACAGGTGGGGCTGCAGGGGAGAGCACTGCTGATAAAGCAAGAGCTGTTAGGGCATGGGAGAGGGTGGACGTCAGAGCTAAGGGGCACAGCGGGGCCAGGCACCAGAGGGCGTGGGGAGGTGTCGGTCTGAGGCCCACCTTGAGAGAGTGCCCATCTGAAGGCCTCCTTTGCTTGAGAGGTTGAGGAGCAATGTCGAGCTGGAGGGGGCCTGGCACACCAAGGCCAAGCCCAGGGTCCACGGGGACTGGGGCTGTGTGTCTGTCTTCAGTTGTGCCCCAGAGTGGGGCCCTGCCCAGGAGGTGGGCATGTTTCTTGTTCATGGGTTGAGAGGTGAGCAGGGTGGGGAGGCTGGCACCTAGGGAGGCTGGGCTCTCCTGGAGTGGGGAAGTTAGAGACCCAGGTCCAGAGGAGGGCACAGGAGGGGCACCTGGATGGGGTGGTGGCCTGAGAGCAAGAAGCAAGGTTAAAGTTTCAAAGTTGGAGCCCAAGGGGACGGGGGAGAAGGTACATGGAGCAGGTGGCAGGAACCGAAGAGCCGGTGGCTGGAGATGGTCCCCAGCAGCTACCCAGGGTGATGGCCATGCAGGGGCTGGGGAGACAGAGCAAGGCTGAGCCCAGGCCTCAGGGTCCAAAAGAAATGACACGGGTAACAGCAACCAGGCTGAGTGGGACCGCCAGCTGGTGGGAGCCGAGAGGGTGTCACGGGGGAGGCTGCCACGCACAATCCACGGAAAATGTGAGAAGGCGCCGTTCTTGGGAGAGGACTGCAGGGTGGGTAAGAGTCGGGACTCAGCCGAGGCAAGAGGTGACAGAGGCAGAGGGGGAGGGGAAGACGGCAGCAGGTGGGAGCAGGAGCTCCGGGGGAATCTGGAGGCGTGGGATCCAGGCAGGGGGCCCGGGGATGTGTGAGCCGCTCAGGAGAGTGGGTGGAGCAGGTAGGGGTGGAGTGGGGCCCTCAGGCACCTTCAGGCTCACCTACACTGGTACCCCGATAATTCTCAGGGCTCTGGGTGGCTCTCCTGGCACATGGATAAATGGGAGGAACAAATGCTTCTGGTTCAGTCCTGGAGGGGGAGGTGTGAATGGACCTCGCAGGAGATTCCAGTAGGGAGGATGCTCACGTGGCTGGATGGGTTCAGGGTGAGTTTCAGGAGGGCCTCACGCTGCAAAGATGGGAATGAGAGACCGTAGCTCAGAGCAGGTGCTTGGCCCAGGTCGCACAAGCCTGGAGCTGCCCTCGTTGGCATGCTGGTGCCCTCCTGGCTAGGCAGGCCCTCCTCTGCCCACCAGCCTGCCTCCCTCGGGGCAGCTGTGCCTCCCTCAGCTTCCTTGCCCTCACCAAGCTTGGCCACCATCCAGCTGAGCTCACAAGCATGCTTGGACTTGACTTTGTGAATGCAGATCCTCCAAAGTTTAGAGACAAGCTGGCCTCCTAACCTAACACTCTGCAAGGAGGTGAGGTTCACGCTGCTGAAACCTTGGAGGGGGAATCTCAACCCCAACGCTGGCACACAGGCTCAGGGCTGGCTCCCCAGGACACAGACTGAATCACAGGGGCTCCACGGGCAAGAGGTGTGCAGATAGAGGGACGCGTCAGGGGTCCCCCAGGGGAAATCAAGGCTGTGGGGAGGCCTGTGGAAAATCGTAGTGTGGCTATCAATGCCACATGTAAAGCGGCGTTGAGAGCAGGGACAGTCAGGCAAGGCTGGTGGGCGACAGAGGGCAGAACCATGCAGCTGGCTTCCATCTCTTCTGTCAAAGGGAACACACCCTTTGAGCTGGACAAGCAGAGCAGATGCTACAGTCAGGGGGCCGGGAGGATCTGGGGACCAGGAGGTCACTTCTGGGGATGCTCTCGTTGGTCAGTCTGCACAGGTGACCAAATGTCTCAGTTCATCTGCTTCAGCGCTCAGGGCAGGGTGGCAGGTTCTGGTGACTATGGCCTTTGCGGTGTCCCCTCAAGGACTCTAAAACGAACTCCCAGCGATTGCTGAGTGATCTCTGAACCCTCGAAGAAAGTAGCTGTGGCTAGGAGCTGAGTCTTTTAAGAGGCGATGTGCTGCGCGGGCGCCCTTTTCCATGCTGAAGGAGCTGCAATCCTCTAGCGGGGCATGGGCCCCAGCTTGGCACACCTGGGTGCGTGTCTCCCCAGACAGGCTGGTGGAGATGAAGGGGGGCTGGCCAGTGACGATGCCACCATCCCCCCTGGTAGTCTTACAGTCATCCTGACAGCTCACAAGTCTTTCAGCTCCAGTGCCCTCTGCAGCACAGAGCTGCTCACCAGGGTCGTCTGCACCTGCAGCTCCACTGTCTCTCCTCTCACTCAGGCTTCAACCTACACCTGGCTTCTCTCCCCATCCTGCCACCAGACCGCTCTTGTCAACCTCACCGACCTCCTCCATGGTGCCAGCTCAAAGCATCTTTTGGCCTGATCCTCCAAAAATCTCTGAGCAGCAGCCACTGAGTGAACCTTTGGGGAGGTGTGGAATCCATCCTTGATCTCATACATTTAATTAACTTCAAAAATTAATGCATGCATGTAACTTAAAAATTCAATCAGTACAAAAAGTATACTTAAGTCTCCCATCCGATGGTCCCCTTTCCAGAGGCAGTCCTGTAAACATTCCCATAGGTCCTTGCAGGTATTTTTATGTGCACACGTTTTTCACTTATCTCCTTTCTCATCTTCTCCACAGATGCTAGCGTCCATGTGCACTGTTCTGCATTTTACTTCCTTCAGTCTGTGTACCCTGATATTCCCTCCTCCTTAAGCAGCGTCTGCCTGGCCTTCTGGGGACCACCCGCTGCTGGTTTTCCCCTACCTGGTAGGCTGCCTGTGGCCGGCAGCTCCCTCGAGCTGACCTGTAGAGGCTGGAGTTCCTCGAAGTTCATTCCTGGGCTCGCACTTCCTCTTAAACCTTCCCCCAAACCACCTATTCCCAAGGCCTTCAGTGGCACCCATTTATATGGACTCCCACCAAGCACCTCCAGTGTGAACCCTTTCCCCTGAGCTCCCCCTCACACGGAAATGCTGAGTGAACACGACCCATATCACATACTCAACAGTCCCCTGGACCTGACTGCTGCCCTCTGCCCCCCGCAGGCAGTCACCAAGCCCTGTAGGTACCATACCCGATCGTATTCAGAATCCTCCTCTCTGGTCTGGTGCCGTTTGGGCTCATCCCTGGACGGCCGCGCACCCTCCTGCCTGGTTTTCTGATCCTCTTCTGCTCTTCCTGCAATCCAGAGACGTGGAACGTGCAAATCTGATTACATTATACCGTTTAAACCCCTTTAGCAGCTTTCCACTGCTGTTAGAATTTTCAAAATCCTTAGCCTGTCCCACGGGGGCTGGCAGGCCCAAGCGTCCCTCATACCGTGAAGCTCAGCCCCTCCTGCCTGAGGCTCTGCCTCATTTTGGAAACCCCAGAATCCCTGCTCTCCTCATCCCTGGTCCGGACTCTTCCTTCACCTGCACTTTGAAGGTCACCTCATGGGTCTTCCAATCCTGGAATCAGTTAGGCCCCAAGCCTTACCTAATTATTCTATGTCTTTCTTCCTTGGGACCCTAAGGTTGTGTCTGCAAGTATAAGTTATTAACTTATGGATAAATGAATGTTTGTCAAACAAATGAATGCCATCCTCATACCTACCTCCATCCTCTGCATCTTATGTCCCCTTGCCTTATGTCACCGTGCTTTCTGGTAAAGTCCCATCCTAAGGTTGAGAACTTGGCCTCTGGAGCCACGCTGCCTGGGTTTGAGCATAGGCTCTGCCAACTTATTAGCTGTGTGACCTTGGACAAGTTACTTGGTATCTCTGTGCTTTGGTTTTCTCATTTGTAAAAGGGTTAATAGTATGTAACTCACAGAGGATTGAAGGAAATAGTACCCAGTTAATTGATTAAAGAAAAAACAAATCAAGTGCTTAGCACTGAATCTGGTGTATTTCTTACCATTCATTCCTGGGCAATGTCAAGCCAGCCTTCCCCTCAGCCGTCATCTCCTACTGCTATGTACTGTTCTGATTATTTCTAGGATAAAAGTCATTTCCAGCTGGAGTATAATGTTTCTGCGAATTCATATCCTTCTGCTCCTCCAAATTCCCAGAATCGGAGAAGAGCAGACTCAAGAAACGGTCCTGAAGGCACTGAGAGGGAGGGCCTCAAGTGGCCGGGGAAGCTAGCCTGAACTCACTTTTCTGTGGTAATCCACAAGGACAGAAATGAAAGCTGACTTATTCAGTTTTCTTTTTTAGATTTTTAAAAGCTCACCCACGAAAACCTTGGACTTTATTTTACCTTGATACTCCACAGTTAAATATAAGATGGTTACAAAATATAAAGAGAATTGCCTTAATGAGGCATGAAGGGTGAAATGTTAGGATGGAACTTAGTAGTGAAATGATTAAGAACTCTAAATTGTTATTTTATAGCAGTTGGAACACTTTCTATTTTGTGTATGTTTTTTTCAGGAAACTAGAATCTAGATCATGACTCTATTTCCCTTCCAAATTGAAGAATTTAATGAGCCTAAGTTTCAAAGAGGAAGAAAGCTCAGAACCTGTGCCAGGTCTCTGACACTGGCAGGCCTGTGAATCTTGGGATACATGTGGTATCACTGGCGAACAGCACTTGGCACATTCCAGGTGCTGGTTCATGTGGGTGGGATGCCAAACTTCCTATGGGGACCCCTGTGCAAGTAACTTTTGCCCAAATTTGTAAAGTGAAATCTCTCAGAAATGCCCCAATGAAATAGTAAAAAACAATGAACACGATACAGATGAAAATGTGATTATGTTCAACAAAACCACAATTTTTAAAGAAGCCTCTGAGTAAGTGAAATCCAGAAACAGGGAAGTTCACCTGGAAAACCCCCAATTCTACCCTAGAGGGTATGACTGCCTCTTTAACTGAGGACTGCATGCTACACTAAAACAGACTGTATCCAACTCAGTAGGTTCTATACAAGCCATTTATTTGAAATGCCAACTATATGTAGGATAAAGTCAGTGTTACATGCTTATCAGTAACAGTAGAAAAATAGAACCAGTGAAAACCTTTGTACAACTGTAATGATACTCAAAAGAGAAATGTATCGTTTTACAATGCTTCACACAGACGAATTCAAGTTTGGAGGTACCTAAATAAAAATACTATATATTTCTTTAAAAAACACTATGTACAATTGAAGCGTAAACAAGTTTTACAAAGTACTGGTTATGCAGGTTGTAGAAAACACTTGCATAGGACATGAAATCAGTTTAAGAAAAATTTCTGAGCCTTTAGCATTGAAGGCACTTGACTTTATACCAGTAACAGCACAACCACAAAAAATGCAGTGTTGTATAGAAGGTACCACCTCTCTGAAGTATAGATGTGGCACATAAATAGCAAGTGGAGTTCAGGAATCTACCTTTCAGCCACCCCATCTCAGAGCAGGATTCCATGCCACCTGCCCACGGAACCCAGATGCACAGTCACATGCAGGTATGTGACTTAGCTGAAAGAGCTTTTCTCTTAGACAGAACCCATGTAAACACACAAACACAAGGTTACTTGCAAGACACACACTTGTAAGTAATCTTTCTATAGAAATGGCCACAGTATTATAATATTCAGAAATTCGGAGACTGACACCCCTTCTGAGGGTTTTCTAGAAGAAGAGAAAAAATCAAGACACTTGCCAATGCAACAATTATGGAAGAGCTATTGTAATCTACACGACAAAGAGACATCTGGAACACACTGCACAACAGGGCCCACGGCAAGTAGTGAAATACCTTGTAGTGTGTGATGGTGACTCTCTTAGTAAGGTTATCTGCAATGAGGTTTGAAAGTAAATTACTCAGTAGACAAAGTAAACCATGGCAGAACTGGGAATAGCACCCATTGCTGCTGCTTTAACAGTAACTTTCAGCAAAAAGCAAAAGCTGAAACAACCAAATAATAAAAAAAAAGTGAAATAAACATTTTTCTTTGAGTTCTGTCCTAAGATAAAATCATGAATGCCTCAGAATGGCAAACAAGTATCTTACAAGGGTTTCCTGGACACATTTTCCCCTAAAAAGCAGATTAACCATTAAGAAAGTATGTATTTTGCTGTGTGGTTACTGAGACATGAACCCTTTGCCCCCAGAGGCTGGCTGAGCACCCGCTGTGGCCCCTGCATGTGCTCCCTCCCCGCCACGCAGGGACGAGGACTGCCCGCCATGTGAACTTGGACAACAAATCAAAAGAAAACCCAGTAAAGGACAGCAATTGTAATAAAAAGAAGAGGTTTTGAGGAAGCAAAAATAAGAATTAGGTGAAGTTTCATGAAGAGTTTTACTGAAGGACTCAGATATAAAAACCTCATTAAAAAATCCTTAAAATCTAACTGGTTAGTGAAATGTCAGAAGAGCTTAGTCTAGGGGCATATGCATAGAAAAAGCTAAAGGGGCCTGTTAGAAAGGGCAGGGTTCAAGAAAAATTCAAATGATTTTTCAGGAATAATTTTTGCCTTTCATGCTATTTTTTTCCCCTTAGTAGTCACAGGTGACTTTAAACTTATTCATCAAAATCACAAAACTAAAACAAAAATCTAGTAAGAACACACCACCATCATCTTGAAGAAATGTGGATCTTCTCTTTCAGCTTCAGGATCTAAATGGTAATTCCCTAAACCTCAACACAGCGGGCACCCAAGGTGGCGATTGTCTGACGGCCTGATTGTCTGTGGCCTCAAGAGGAGATTTGGTATTTTTAGATTTGGTTTTCATGAAATTTCTACACCAAGTAAATGCCAGGCCCTGTGGCCTAAATTTTATATTAGATATGTTTTTTTCTTTTTTTCTGAGAGCAATGTTACTCAGACTTCACATTTACCTTAGTACAGCATTAAAAGATTTTCATGCTTAATAGGCATTAAAAAAGATTGAATAGATGGGTTCAAAAGCTAGAGGCACATAGCTATTCAACTTACCCTATTAACCATACTTCACAATACCCATTAAAAGTCCACTAACACCTACCCTAACACACACAAAACCACGTGTTTACCTTCTGCAAGTCACATCAGTCCACAATCCCACAGAGATTAAAGCAAGTTTCTCTCTATACACATGGTTTAGCCAGATAAGCCACTAAATTATTAAAATCAAACTTCATAAATTAAACTATGAACAGTGGCCACTTGTTTTTATAATTATATTTTGGGGATGTGAAGGAATATTTAATAAATTTTCAGAAAGATGAATGATTGATATCAATAGCTCATGTTTCCTTTTTGAAAAAAGGAGAAGCAAACAGGTCAGAGCTAAGAGTTTTCTTCCCACCCAAATTAGCTCTACACAACTCTTATTTGCAGAACCAGCACAGTACAGTCTGAATTCAGAACAGAAATTTAAAACTGTATCAAAAGAATTCATGTCAACACATCTATATAAATACACATTAAGGAATATGATGGAATTAACAATTTTTGTTTCTGAAGAGACAGACTGAGATTGGCTTCAAAAGACACCATCATCTGTTATAAAGAGCTGAACCTCCTAGAAATGAGAAGAGTCCTGTTTTTCTATCTTTACAAAAAGGAGCCTCAAAGGCGACGCGCAGCCGACCTTACAGTAGATTAGTGTCAGCTCTGGGAGGTCAGCGAGTGCTCAGCATGCAGCGTCGCCGACACCGGCGGATGCACTAGCAGCAGTGAACTGGTCAGGCAGCAGAGCGCGCGGCAGGGTGGGCCGGGCACACCGCGGGATCCCCACCTTTGAGACCACCTACTGTTAGGAGTTTCTGAAATTTCAGATTATTCCTGAGTGTATATCCACAGGGTAAGGTAGGAAAAGACTGTAAGAGAAACTATAATTTTGGGAGAAATCAGAGTTGTTGACACCCAATAGAAACCTACGTATTTAAAAGTGCATGTAATTCATTTATATGGTAGCTTGTAAAGGCTCTCTAGCCCTGCATAGTTTTGGAGTGTGAATGATTTATAGTTTCATATATATATATACATACACAGAAAAGATGCTCCAAACATCCTTCATATATGAGGGAATGTTCAGAAAGTCTCTTTTCTTCTAAGTGCTACGGCTGTGTGTATATGTGTTTTTAAAAATACAAAGTGAATGCTCCAAAAATGTTGAAGTGATTTAAAAACTCAAATATTAATATATTTACATTGGAGAGTAAGAAGAAAACAGTCCTTAGCTCACACATTGCCCTTCCAAGGGAGAGGATCCTAAAAGATCCTATGTGCTCGGTGGTTCAGTAAATTCCCAAACCAGCATCCCCAACGGAGTTCAAGTAGGACATGTAGTGTTTCACCTAAAAAAAGGAAAAAAAAGGTTTCTTTTTCTTTTTTGGTGACAAAGCCTTATGCAGTATACAACTGTTTTTAGGACACAAAAATTCAGACACACTTTGAAAAACATTTAACAGAAAACATATGCTTACAAACACCAAATGACATCCGTAAGACTGAAGCCCTTTTGTTTGTGTTTTTCCCACAGCGAGCAAGACAACGGAAGGCAACAAGCAGTAGTTTCCCCAGCTCGGCGTGAGAGTTGATGCTCAGAACCAGAAATCCTGTAGTGCAACCTTTAAGTGACTTTGCTATTTCCACTGTGTTGGGACTCCTGGAACTCTGCTCTCTTTAGAACCTCAGCCAGTGACACCCCAGTCCAGACCACTGGAGCTGCGGTGAGTCTGACAGTGTCCACACTGTGACTAAAGCAACAGTGTCAGCCTGGCCACAAAAGGCTTTTCTCCTTCCTGTACTTTACTGAACCAGAAAACTTCAGGATCCTGATTGGACTCCCGCTAGAGGAATGAAGACCAGCTCGCAAGATGTAGTAAAAAAAGAATGACATTAGATTCATGGAGACTGAACAACTAAAACAATTACTGAAAGGAGAGAGGAGCATTTTGATGTGCTGTTCTTTGGAATTTCTCTAATTAAAAAATAAACAGAATTATTTCATAAGAAAATACATCTTAGTGTGCAATCCAATGCACGTGGAAATTGGTAGATGAAAGATAAAATGCAAAAAAGTATGAAAATACAGTCCTTTAAATGTGGCAATAAAGTTTAACATACTGGTATAAAATCAATACAGATAAAATAAATGTACAAGTGCAAAAAAATTCCATTATTTGTAAGGAGGAAAAAAAGTGCCAGCTTGCTTGCTCTTAAAAATGCTTCCCCACACAACTGTTCAAACACAAAATAGACAGGTGCAGCATTCAAAACAACCCTCTTAAGCATGCCATGTCTAATAAACATGTATATACAAAAACTAGAGTAAAATAATGTGAAACCGAGTTATCAGCTGGCACCAATGAACTGGTCTCTAAGTTGCTGGGCTACATCATACGGGATGTTTCACATCTCAGGCACAGACGACTTGGAGGCTGCTCTCAGAGGGCAGACTTTTTGTAGAGGAAGTCCGGCTTGCTCGGTGACCTCCTTCCTCTGCTTATGGAATCTTCCCTTTCCAAATCTGTACTTCGCTGAGCTCCACGGCCCAGAGACTCGCTGTCTGCCAGTCTTCTACTGGATCTCTCTTCTGGAGCTTCAGAGCTACATGCAGAATGTGAGGGTCTGTTAGGAGTCAGCCCAAAAGTCAAGTCGGTTTCTACTGCTGTTCGTCCCCTGATGTGGGCTGGACCATTGCCAGCATTTTCTGGGGCTGCCAGAGGCAAGTCTGACCGCTGGGGAGGTTGCTCCACGACATCGAGGTGGATCGGCTCATTCTTCTGCCTGTGTAGATGCCCATTAGGAGAAAGTGGATATTCTCTCCTAGCTTCTTCTTGCTTTTTAGGAGAGGTCTGGCTAGGTAGGTATGCTGACTTTAAGCCACTTGGTGATGCCTTATTGTGGCTATACAAATCGGGACCAAAATATCCACCTTGCGAAGGGGAAGGGGTGCGTCTGCCAGGAGCAGGAGTAGAGGGTCTGCAGGCGGCATTTGAGAAGTCATAGAAATCCGGATATTCCTGCTGATTTTCTCGAGCATCTGGTGTTTGCTCTAGTGTGTGTTTCTTTCGAGATGTGTGTGTATGCCTCTGCGGAATACACGAGAGGTGCTGGGGAGGCCTTAGTCCTACTTCAGAAACTGACTGGCTTAGTTCTGTGTCTACAGCAAGTTCTGGAAGCCTCCTGTCCTTAAGTGACATCGTGGACACACCCATGGCAATATCGGGCATTACATCATTTAGCACAGGTTGTGTACACTGCAAACAAAAACAAAAGCAAGGGCGGGTTAAAAGAAAAAAAAAGTCCATAGCTCCTTCTCTGTAAAAAGGATGTTCATTGATTTTCTTTCCTCATTATAAAAGAAAGATATGCTTATTTTTAAGAATGATAAAACTACAGAAAACCATAAAGGCAAAAAAAAAAAACAAAAAAAAAACCCAAGTCCCTAATCTTCCCTACTGAGATAACCATGATATATTAGCATTTTGAAGTCTTTCTCTCACCTTTTTTCTTTGCACATATAATTTCCACAAAATTAGTGCATATATTTCTCTCACTAGTACTATTTAAATGACTGTGAAATATTCCACTATATTGATGAGTTATGATTTATCTAACCATTCTCCTACCGCTGGACATTAAAGTTGTTTCCAATTTTTCATTATTATAGTCAAGACTGTAATGAACATACAAATAAATTATCTTTAAAGGGAGTTTTATGTAAAAGATAGAAGTAGTAGAACTTTTATATTATAGACCTGAAGGCCATTCTGGTAGGATGGGAATTAGTTTATTAAACACTGTGAACTTTTGTTGTTTCTTCTTTTTGGGGGACTGGGAGGGACAGCAGGGTGAGTAGATAGAAGGGTATAAGGAAGGATCGTAATTTGAACCAAGGTGTACACTAGTTCAGATACCAAAAGCTCTATTTTCACAAAGATTCCCTGAACTATTACATGTATCTCTGGCTTTTCTCTCTACTCAATGTTACAGATAGTGTGTAACTGAGTGGGAAGATTTAAATATCACTACTGCTTTTTTTCAATGTACTATACTAAACAGAAATGCACCCTCTAAAAGCAGTGCAAAATCAAGCAAAGACTCCTCGCCTAATTTACCAGCTCCTAGTGCTAGTTACTGAGGCTCTCATCAAATGAGAGCCGTGAGGGAACAGATGACCAGAGGCGGAGGCAGGCACGAGGACTAACTTTCGGCCCACGTTCTGCATGGGGAGTCTGCTACCACGTTGTTTCTGGTTACTTAGCAGTAAGTAACTTCCCCTTTCTGCCCCAACAAAGCATTTGGTGAAATAGTAGATCCTACACTACAGAAGTTAGTGGGGGGGGGCGAGACATGTGCCTGCACAGAACACTGTGAAACCAATAATGTCCATCACACTGCCTAGAACCCCACTCCTTCTGCACCCCTGAAAATGAACATGAAGGTAAGGTACTCGACTGCTCCTACCACCTACACCTCTCATCTCTGTTCTGTCCTTTTCTCATTCACCTCCACTTTTTCTCTTTCTCTTCCATACTCCTCAAGTCTATGCTATCAGCTTGTCAGTATCATTTCTGGGTACTCTTGAGTCCCAGTAGGGCTCTTGGGGTCAGGGGAATTGCCTCTGATATTCCATCAACATTTTATTTTAGGTGAATTACTCAAGTACTAACTTACCACTTGTTTCTCAGTTGCTGCTGCTGCGGAGGCGGCAGCAGCTACCGTCTGCCTGCCCAGTCCTGTGGCATTGGTGCAGTCGGGCGCAGCTGCTTTCACACCTGGCAAATAGACTAGAGGGGGGCCAGCTTTAGGAGCCGTTCTGGAGTGAAAAAGCGAATGATTACAAGGGTAGGAAAATGAACGTGAAGGGTGCTGACTGGGAGGTCTTTGTTTCCAGCCTGCTTTGAGTTGGTTATGGATCGGGGTAGCCGGGGGGTGGTATGGAGGTGGTGGAGGAGGTAAGGGTGGATGGAAGGCCACAAAAGAGTCCAGATCTGTAAACATGGTTTCTGCAGTGGGGGTGCTGTTAACTCGACATCTCCCAGACTGCCTCAATGTCAAGAGTGGGCTTTCATCCCCAAAACGTTCATCAGGAAAGAACTTGTGAGGATTCTAAGAAAGATCGAAAAAAAAAAGGTTAGGACATTTATTAGCAGATTTCCTAGATGGAAATTTATAAGCTGAAAGAGAGAGTGAAGTGAGGACCTAAGAAAACCACATTCAGTGAGAATAAATAAAAGGCAAACATATCTTTCTTGGCGAGAAGTGCAAGAGAAAAATACCTTAATAATAGTATGAGAGGACAGAGTATAGTCTCTGTAGCCTAAGATACGATTACCAGGCAGAGCTGCTTAATTGAATATTCCTGACAGCAGGTCAGTAATCTCTTACAAGATCATGTGATAATGCAAAAACAGGAAATAGAATGTAATTCAAGTATGTCTTTGCTAAGAAAATAAAATTAACATTAAACATTAAAGGGAGAAAAGGTATACAATGAGGATCCTCTGAGAATTTTCTGACAAAACATCTGTACATCCTTATGTGAAATGGAAACTACAAAATACTATTCCTTACTTACTGCTTACATAGGACTAAGTTTGATTACTATTTTAGTAAACATTACATGGGAATACTTAAAATTACACAACTTTCATAGAATTTAAGATATCAAATTAAGATACACTTTAGAATGGCAAAGGGAATAGAAATGAATAGAAAACAAGACTATCTATTTTAGGAATGGAAACCATAGCAAAAAATGAAAATCAAGGACCTACAAACACCCTTCTGCTTGCCTAAGAACACCACACTGAGTTCCATTTTGAAGACTCGGGCTAAACAGGTTTGGGGTCAGTGGCAAAAAAACAATTCAATCACTTGACTAGATGAAATTAAATTATATTTTAGATTCTGATTTAGTGGCTGTGAGCAGTCGACTTCACATATTTCATCTTCATTGCAAAGCCAATGCTACTGCTTTTGTACTTAATTGCTAGAAATTAGTTTTTTCCCTACAGCTAAAACACACACACACACACACACACACACACACACACACACACAAAACACACACTCATTCCTTGATTCTCTCATGCTTATGAGATTTGAACAAATCATACAAAAAATGTATTATAATATGGGGGAGGATAGTGGAAAGAAGGGAATCTGGAAGGTAGTTGAGGGTAGAATTTTCTACTTCCTCTTTCACCTCTGTTCACCTCTGTTGGGCATACACACCATGAACTTTTAGCAGCCACCACTTAACATGCTTGCTGCATATGACACATAGTTGCTTACATACAGCACCTCTTCACAACAATCCATTTTACAGATAAGGAAACTGATGCTCAGAGTGGTTAAGTAACTTGGTCCAAGTTAGCTAACGATAAGCAGTAGGGCCAGGATATGGATATAAGTTTAGATCTCACCGAAGGGCCTGTGCTCTGTCCACACTACCACACTGCCACCCACCAGGTGGGTGGGGGTGCCTGCCTTTCAGGCTTTCCAAGACACCAGAGGCAGAGAAGGAGCGTGTACCAAGAAAAAAGCAGGCTATGACGGCTCTGAAACACTGCCTGTGTGCAGGACAGGCTCCAGTTCCCACCTGCAAGAGCTCTGCAGCTGCGTCAGCAAGACCAAACTCTCTCAGGACGCGAATCTGAATTTCATAGCTGACTGTGGCGCCTTCCCCACAGTTGAGTGCATAGGCTCTCTGCACCTGCTCAGTGTGTCGTAGTTCCTGCAGCCGTCTGACCATGTCTTTCATAATGAGGAGTCGAGGAACTGGAACAAGAAAGTTTGTAGGCAAAATATCTGACAAAAAGACCACCCACTGAGCACAAGAAAAAAAACATGTTTTGCATCAGAACCTGAGGAGATTCTATACACAGTAATTATATACCTCTAATTATTTTGTAAGGTCTTAAAATTTCACTGTGCCCAAAAAGCTCTTGATAATAACAAACAGCTGCTGAGCTATAGTATTAATTCACAGCCTAAATAAAATTTTACTTGCGTATAGTCTCTTCTGAATCTCAGAATATTTCCTGTCTTTTAAATAATATTTTATTCAAGTAATAAATAACTCTTTTATTCAAGTAATTTCTTGAGTCCCAACTACATATCAGAGATTAAACTTGTGTATTCGGGTGCATAGTACAAAAGTCGTGATTCCTGTCCTCAAAGAGCTCTGGGTTTACTGAAGTAAACTAAGTAAACTGGGGCAGTACTGGGCCATGAATGGTTAAGGTGAGAAGTATGCAAAGGGTTGCTGAAGGTGAGACAGGGACCATGGGCTGAGACAGAGTAGGGTGAGGGCCTCTGGAAAAAACAAAGCAAGATAATCCATTGTTGGATTTGCTTTGGCCTGCTGGGGGGCCCAGCTTGTTTTTCTGACTTTACCCAGGTGCTGCTTTTCTTCCTCCAAATGATTCGCCCTAAACAAATGATTTGCAACCTGGGCAATGGAGCAAGCAAGCCCAAAACAACCTATAAAAACAGGAAGGATGCCATCTCGAAACTTAGATTGCATTTTAAAACCCAATTAGTTAAAAAGTAAGTTACTGAACATACTCTTTAACAAACAGACAATAACTCAGCCCATCTTGGGAGCAAAGGAGGCGGTCTTGAGTGATATGCTCCCAGACCAGGAAGCTGCTATCCTGGGAGGAAGTCAGAGCAGTAAATTTCTTGTAAATAAACAGAAAGACTAATAAGAAACTTAATAATGTCTCTTCAAAGATAAACATTTTGGGGCCACTTAGCAGGTGCACATCCCTAGCCCTTTGTCTCTCAACAGCCTATAAAACCCCTAGACAACGCACTACCCCAGGGCTCTCTTGACCCTTCCTGGCCTGAGCCAGGAGCTCTGTCCTCTAGCTTCATCTCTAAATAAAAGCCTCTGCCTGCTCTCCTACCTTGAGTGTTTGCGAAGTTCATTCTTTGACTCCATGAACAAGAACCCTGGCATCAAAGGGATTTGGAGGAAGGGGCCCCCAACCCATACTGGAGGTGGGCAGGAAAGGCTTCCTAGACCAGGTGAACCCTGAGTGCAGTCTTCACGAATGAGAGAAAACCAGGCAGGCAAAAAAAGCAGAGAGAAGGTTTTCCAAGTGGAAGGACCCCAGGCATTTGTAAAACATCAAGTGAGAGACAGTATGGCACAAGTAGTTGGCATGGCTAGTGGAACTTTGGGTTCAAAGATACAAGCAGGAAGAGGATTAAGAGAGAAAGTTAGAAAAATGAGTAGGAGCTCATCATGAATCACCCTGAACATCACAATAAGAAATTTAAATTGCATCTTGTGTACAATATCATCAGATTTTTTTTGAATCTTAAAATGCTAACTAGCAAGAGCTATAAATTTCTGACCTCCAGATCACCGTGGATTTTCTTACCTTAGAAACTGACACTACAGCTCTTTAGTTAAAGTAAACGTTACCTGATTGTCATAACTTTCCGGACATGACAGTTATACCTCTACCTATGGCCAATTTCCTACAACAGAATTCACAGAGCAGATCTTGGGAAACTGGATCTCTAGGAAACCACTGGTGATCACATCTGGGGGAAGATATCTAGACTCAAAGAGATGTAAGTTTATAATACTCTCCCCTAAAGGGTCTTACAGTGAGAAATACCAAGTGATGAAAAATCTGAATTCCTTTAAACCAGTGGGTTCTCAACAGGAGGCGATTTTGCCAGATAGAACACATATAGCAATGTCTAGAAACAGAAACTATGTTTCCAAAAGGTTGTTGCAAAGGGAGCTGTGTGTGTGTATGCTACTGGCATCCGGTGAGCACAGGCCAGGGATGCTGAACATCCTAAAATAAGCAGGGCAGCCCCCCCAACAAAGAATTATCTAGTCATCAATGTCAAGAGGGCCAAGGTTGGGAAATCCTGGGCACAAACGAAAAACAGCATATACTTATTACTGTGTAATACAAACCAAAACAGTCTTTATTCTTTAATGAGAACAAAGCATAATAATAGGTATTGGACTGTAGAGAGAATTAGCATATACAAAAGGGTTAAACAAAATGATTATTCATTTAAATATAAATGCCTGACGCAAGGCTACTGCCTTACCTGGAATTTCATTGGCAACAACTGAAGGAGGGCTTGACTGGTTACTGCTGATCTGCTGGTGGCTGACCATGTGACAGCACTGTGGCACGGCATTACTGACCATGTAAAGTGTGTCTGGCACATTGGACATTCTCACCATTCGTAAACGCACAAGATCTGTTTGTTCCACCATCATCTCATCTAGCACTGACTGAAATAATAATTCAGTATTAACAGAATTAGTCAACCCTTCATCTCTGTTAAATTACATTTGGAGAAAGATTACTATCTTCATCATATAAAAAGGGAATTTTTTTTGGGGGGGGGATTAGTTTATTGTTTCCAATGTATGAAGGTTAAAGTTAGTGGTGAACGGAGAAAATACTCCTACCTCTTTAATTTTTAAAGAATCTTTTTGGAGCATCTCTGAAAAGAAGTAATCGTCTTCTGAAAAGTTTGCTTTTAATTGGAGTATTTGAAATTTGAAAGAGGGATACAAAATTAACCAGAAGTAAATTATACATAAAGTTACTAAAAAGAAAACATATATACATGGACTAAATATCAGATCCAACAAGAAATGCTCAAAATGTAAAACATTAAAGATTGCTATTAAATTCAACAGACCTATGAGTAAACCCATTGTTAAACTAGTTTCTGATGGCTCTATCTCAACAAACTGCAGAGAGCCAAAATGAAATTATACATAAACGTTTCCACATTTACTAGGGGCAATTATCTAACTTATTAGTATCGGTACAGCCATCTGAGAAATGGAATATTCAGGATTATCTGATTAGTTTACCACTATGGAGGATAGGTCTAGTATATTAGAGACCTTTATCATGAGACTCAACATTTTTAAAGGCCTCAGTTGTTTGAGTGACTTTACACATTGAACTTATTTTAGAAAGTCTAGACCCAACCATTCTGCTTTTCTCCTGTTTTAGAATGATTTAAAGTACTGAATTACTTAATAGGAGCTGGTTATCAATATGGTCAGTAAAATAAACTTCTCACAAATCCTTTCACAGATCTTAAATTAGCAACTCAGACAGTGAAAATGAGAAACAATTTAAGGTAACTTAATTCTATACCCAAACACACAGTTTTGCCTGTTTTCTTATTTCATAAGCTTAGTGGTGATTTCTCACTTTCAAAGAGCATCAATTCCTCAAAAGGCTACCCAAAAGTTCTCACGGCTGAATACATCTAATAAAAATTACAGTACTTGACTTTCACATTACCCTATTTTCTTGGAGAATTCTTTGTTATATAATATACATATGCCAATTTATACTTGAGAAGCCTGAAATTTTGTCTTAGCTTGTGCACTTATTTTAAAACTAAACACAATTTCCAACAGTCAGCCATTAACAGAAATACGTTACAGGAAATTATGGCTAAGATGTTTTTGATGGAAGACAAAATGTGTACAATCTTCTTTCAGAACATTTTGACCATCTTGAAGATAACAAAATACTGATAATCACTTGAGTAGAATGAAACTGAACATGATTTAAGTTATAAAACCATGCCTGATAATTAAACATTTCAGAAGTCTATCCTGGTGAATAGACAAACTAGAATTTGCTTTCACTTTCCCTATTACTGGACATTTAGGCCATTTCCAATATTTAAGTAATACCACAATAAATATATTTGCGGTTATAGTTTGTAATAAAGTTCTTCAGTATCTTAAAATGGTTTCATTACCTTTGCTTCTTCCACATAGGGAGAGAATAGCCGAGGACGAACGTATATTCCAGCATTTTTTTGCCGTAACCAGGCATTTGATTTCCCACCTTCTGTCATAGGAAGCATATCTGATGGAGGAGTACTAATCAGGCCTCTTTTCATCTTGAAAAAAAATTATTTTTAGATAGAGATTTGTGTAGTACCATAATACTGCTAAGATAAAAAAAATAACATATCTGTAAGTCAAAATGTTCAATCATTTAAAAAAATTTAGGAACATATATGAAATTTTAAAATACTGCAAATGTTTAATAACATTTAAAGGATTCCCCAATAAAAAGGTACTACATTTCCCTTTTTTCTCTAAACAAAGGTATTATTTTTTAAAACAACAGCTATATTAGTAGACACCAAGAAAGGAATAGGGGTTACCAAAGGAGAAGGGTTGGGAGGGTGGGTGGGGAGGGAGAAGGGGATTAAGGGGTGCTGTAATTTGCAATCACAACATAGGTAAGCCACTGGAATGATAGAACAGCATGGAGAATATAACTGACGACTCTGTAACATCTTATGTTGATAAGACAGTGACTGCAATGGAGGGGATGAGGTCCTGATAATATGGGTGAATGCTGAACCACTGTTGTGTGTACGTGAAACCATCATAAGATTGTATATCAATGATACTTAAAAAAAACCCAGCTATATTAATTAAAAATATAATGAGTTGGGCCAACTTTAAGAACTTTCAATGAAAACCAATTTTCATTTTTTGACTCACTCATTTAGAAACTGACTCCATCTCCACCAACAAAATAAGAACACCTTTTGGGCCTGTTACCTACACTTCAAGGAGACAGGCACTCCGCATGGTGGTTAGGGACAGGGTTTCTAGGGGAAGGTGGGCCTGGCTCAAAACCTTAACTCCTCTGTAACTGTGGCCATGGCCATCTCTTTTTACTGGGCCTCCTTACGTGAAGGGTTTCTAGACAGCCCTGGAGATGGGACACTGTGTAACTAACTCAATGTGGTGGCCCTCTTGTTTCCTCATCTAGACAAGCAGAATATGAATCAAGTACCTAGAGTTAAGGTGGTGGTGAGGATTAAATGATGGCAATGCAAATTATAGCACTTGACCCAGCGTTCAGCACATACTAAGAGAATATTACCATGAACAGCCATTATTAGCAACCTTTTACTGGGGCCTTATTCTGTGAGGGATGAAATTAAGAACACAGATACATAAGGAACAACAAGTGCTGGTGAGGATGCAGAGAAAGGGGAATCTTCCTATACTGCTGGTGGGAATGTTAATTAGTTCAACAACTGTGGAAAGCAATATGGAGGTTCCTTAAAACACTAATAGAAATACCATTTGACCTGGGAATTTCACTCCTAGGAATGTACCCAAAGAAAACAAGATCTCAGACTCAAAAAGACATATGCACTCCTCTGTTTATTGCAGCACTATTTACAATAGCCAAGATATGGAAGCCAAGATAAGTGTCCATCAGTAGCCGAATGGATAAAGAAGATGTGGAACATACACACAATGGAATATTATTCAGCCATAGGAAGAAAACAAATCCGACCATTTGCAACAACATGGATGGAACTAGAGGGTATTTTGCTCAGTGAAATAAGCCAGGCAGAGAAAGGCAAGTACCAAATGATTTCCCTCACAAAACAGCAGCAGATTCACAGACTCCAAGAAGGGACTACTGGTTACCAAAGGGGAGGGGTGGGTGAGGAGGGAGGGAGAAGGGTATTGAGGGGTATTATGATTAGTACACATGGCGTGTGTGGGGGTCATGGGGAAGACATTGTAGCACAGAGAAGACAAGTAGTGACTCTGTGGCAATTTACTACACTGATGGACAGTGACTTCAATGGGGCATGGGGGGCACTTAATGATATGGGTGAATGTAGTAACCACATTGTTTTCCATGTGAAACCTTTGTAAGAGTGTGTATCAATGATACCTTAATAAAAAAAAAAAGAACACAGATATATATTTTCTAAGTCTACTAAACCAAAGGTCTAAAATGTTTTTCTAAATATAAATCCAGGCTCACTTGGTTTGAGTCCTAGGTTTTGAACAAAACCAAACATTGTCCAATATTATTCTTGCTAAATATAACTGTCCACATGCTGCACTAAAATTACTTTTAATAAAAATATAGCATTAGATTGGAATGTATTCCGATCTTTTCCAAATGAATTCTTACATACTTAAATACATTTTAAATTACTTATTTATAAACACATAGTAATGTTTTTTAAATATTTAAGTTTTATTTCAAAATAATTTTAGATTCACATGCTGTTGTAAAAAGATATTTTGTAAATTTGTATTTCTTTCTTTCTAAATTTGTATTTAATCTCAGCATTTTCCAGGCTGTTATATTGTCTTTATAACTATTGTTCAGGGCAACAAAAATATTTTGTCAAGTAGCCATACTATAGTTTATGTTTATTTTCCCTATTAGACATTTAAGCTATTTCCAAGTATTTAATGACAATGCTGTCAATGTACTAGTTAATCTTCCTATATGGGACAGTAAATTATTTAAAAAATTACTGACTTAATAGGTGGAAAAGTGCTAATGTACAGTTTATTTTGGTTTCTTTGGTGTGTGATTACTACTGAGACTGAACATTCTTCTAATCAGAGATTCTATAAATATTTAATTATTTCTTCTGGTTTTCCCATGTTTCAATTTAATATTTAATTCTTCAGTCTAACAGGGACTAATTTAGTGTGCAAGTGAAATGAGTGTTTAAACCAATTCCCTCCCTCCCCCACTCCTCAGTTAGTCTGGCACCACACTGATTTATGATAGCTAGTTTATTGTATGTTTAATTCTTAATATTAATTAGGACCTTTTTTTGGGCTATTCTGTCTGTTATGCTAGCATCACAGATTAAATATTAGAGTCTTAAAATTTATTTTACATTCTGGAAGAGGTATTCTCTCCTTCATTATGTTTTTAGAGTACTTAAAAAATTTTTTTTTATCAGTTTTTTTCCCAGAAGAGTTTTATGTTTCTGTGCAGGTGAAAAGATTACTATGTTTATAAGCATTACATTTAAGTTCTTACTAGTGAAGAACTAATATTTATACTTATTTTTCCCACCTATTAATTCAAGCATTAGTTTAAAAACTTACTTTGTAAAAAAATTACAAAAGTAACACAATCAGCTCCATTAATTTTTATTTTTTGGTTTTGCTTTTTTTAAATTTTTATTATTATGGTATCATTAATATACAGTCACATGAGCAGCATTGTGGTTACTACATTCCCTCCATTATCAAGTCCCCACCACATACCCTATTAGAGTCATTGTCCATCAGCATAGTAAGATGCTATAAAGTCACTACTTGTCTTCTCTGTGCTATACTGCCTTCCCCGTGCACCCCTCCTACATTATGTGTGCTAGTCATATTGCCCCTTAACCCCTTTTCCCTCCTTTCCCCCCCACCCTCCCCAGTCTGTTTCTCTTTGGTAACTGTTAGTCCATTCTTGGGGTCTGTAAGTCTGCTGCTCTTTTGTTCCTTCAGTTTTTCTTTGTTCTTATACTCCACGGATGAGTGAAATCATTTGATACTTGTCTTTCTCTGCCTGGCTTATTTCACTGAGCATGATACCCTCTAGCTCCATCCATATTGTTGCAAATGGTAGGATTTGTTTTCTTCTTATGGCTGAATAATATTCTATTGTGTATATGTACCACATCTTCTTTGTCCATTCATCTACTGATGGACACTTAGGTTGCTTCCATTTCTTGGCTACTGTAAATAGTGCTGCGATAAACACAGGGATGCATATGTCTTTTTCAAACTGGGCTCCTGCATTTTTTTTTTTGGTATCATTAATCTACAATTACATGAGCAATATTATGGTTACTAGACTCCCCCCATCATCAAGTCTCCACCACATACCCCATTACAGTCACTGTCCATCAGCGTAGTAGGATGCTATAGAACACTACTTGTCTTTTCTGTGTTGTACAGCCCTCCCTGTGCCCCCCACCCACGTTATGTGTGCTAATCGTAATGCCCCTTTTTCCCCCTTGTCCCTCCCTTCCCACCCTTCCTCCCCAGTCCCTTTCCCTTTGGTAACTGTTAATCCATTCTTGGGTTCTGTGATTCTGCTGCTGTTTTGTTCCTTCAGTTTTTGCTTTGTTCTTATACTCCACGGATGAGTGAAATCATTTGATACTTGTCTTTCTCTGCCTGGCTTATTTCACTGAGCATGATACCCTCTAGCTCCATCCATATTGTTGCAAATGGTAGGATTTGTTTTCTTCTTATGGCTGAATAATATTCTATTGTGTATATGTACCACATCTTCTTTGTCCATTCATCTACTGATGGACACTTAG